CATGACATACCATTTCAATCAACCCAGGAATGAGCCTTGCGATGGAAAATGACAAAACTAACAGGTGAGAAACTTGTGCAACTAGAACAAAACATGTGAAGAAGAAATTGAAACAAGTGCATGAATTTTAAGCACATTCTCAAAGGAATTCAGTGATAGGAATGGAAATTCTGTATAATTAGAGTGTAAAAATAACACTAGGAAAAATGTGGTGTTTTCTCTTAAATATGAACATGATCCTTAATAAATAAAACCCAAACCAATAAAACTATATATAAATAAATAAAATAAAATTGGCACTAATAATGACTGAGCTGAGAGGAAAATGGCCACTCTGCTGTACATGGGGGAAGACTCACGTGTTCTTCCAGGCTGGATTGCAATCAAAGAGCAGCGCTCAGATCATCAAATAGCCACAATCAGCCTAAAGCTAGCTTTTAAGTTTAGGTTAAACAATTCAGGGCCTGATCCAGGTAATACTCCCAGTAAAATCAGTGGGAGCTTGGGATGCAGATTCCCACTGCAGAAACAGGCCCTAAGTTACAAAATTTTATAACGTAAACACTACAGTATATGTGTGAATTCCTAGCCCTACTGAAGTCAAGGACAAAACGCCCATTGATTTCACTGGGGCAGTTCATCCTATGACATGTCACTGTGCTACTTTGAAGGAGTTGTAGCGAAAAGGAACTGTTCTGCAGTCAACAGGTCCTCAGTGTGCTTTCCTTCCCCTTTCATTGATAGTTTACTGTATTTGGGGGGTAACTCCTTTCCTTACAGCCTGCTCCACTGAAGACAAATGACTTTTCATGTATTGTAGATTGTGAAACATTTAGAAAGGTGCACAATTTGTCGTGAGTTTTAAAAACAAGGGGGAGAGAGCAAGTTCTGTCATTTACAGCAATGTAAATCCACAGTGACTTCTGCAGTGTAACAGTAGATTCTGGCCCAAGCTTTTTGTTTCAGGGAGTCTACAAAATATGAGATGGAAAGGAAATGAAAGTGATACGAAACCCAGAGACCAGGAGCGGTTGTTTATTTAGGCCCAATTCAGCAAGGCACTTAAACACTTGCTTAACTTTAAGCACGTGACCAGTTTTGTTGAAGTCAAGCTTTGCTGGATTGAGAATATTTTTTTCTGGAGTAGTACCACTTTTCAATGCTATTTTCTTGGCAACTTTTGTATCACATTAACAGTTTCCCCTCTCACATCCACCAGTTTTCTTTTCACTCATGCACTAAACATTAGCTATATTATGCAAAAACACAACAAATTCCAGACTCCACTAGCTAACTCTCTGCCATGATTAATAGAACAAACAGATTCAGATTTTTACATACACAATGTGAACAGATGTGATTTATAATTTTGCCAATTTCAGGGAGGCAAACATGAATCCCTGCTTTTGTTTTTTACTGGAAAGCTCCCAAATGTGTCATGTTTTTCAGACCATATGAGTGATTTTTTTTACATTCAGAAGGCACAAGTATAATATTATTGGTATGATATATATCATCTTGAAGATATTTAGACAGTATAAAACAAGCGGCTCCTGACCATTAAAACAATTTTTCTCAGGCCGCTCAGCTTATCTGCATGGCTTGGATTATATTGATTTCTTTCTTTATTTTTGTATACGGATAAAGTGTATAGAGAGAAATCTTCAGAGCAAGCTAATTTACATGACAATTTTTCATCAAGGCCCTGATACAGCGCATAATACTTTTTTGGCAAAGTATATATCCCTGCTCACCTGGTCCCGTTAGACGAGACTTTTATCAATAATTATTTCTGGAAACCATGGTAGGTTATCTGTAATATTATAAATGCTAGACATGAGGCTGAGCCCTGGGGTTCAGAGTCAGAATTGATTCAGAATCCAAATATCCTCCAAATTGAAGGGTGGAAGAAATGGGTCAGTATTCTGGTTGGGCCCATTATAGAGATGGGACTAACCTATGAAATTTGGGTCGAACGTTTTGTTTTGGGACAATCTCTGGTTAGGACAAAATATAACAGATAGCTGTAGAATGGGTTAACTCAACCATGATAACAGCATCCTTTTAGGCAGCGTAATTCTAATCCATATTAACACATGCAATAATTCCATGCCTGGCTGCGCAGTGTGTTTAGGACTGGCTGCCAGGTAACCAGCACAAGATCTTTAGTCTTTTGAGGCTTGCTTGGCTCTGAAATATCCAGATCCAATCTGTTTTTCTGTCTTTGATCCCATAAATGTGTAAAATGGTGTAACTTGTTGCTGCACAAATCGCTGATGCCTCAGCTGATCACTAGGGGCTAGATTGTAACTTGGCCCATGCTCCTGTAGTTTAGGAATCCCCATTATGCCCCACCATGGGCTACCTAGGAGTTGGGTCTGAATATGAGAGGGTGCTGTGAGCTTGCTACTTCCCACTACCCACCCAGCAGTAAGTAGGTGGGGAGTGAATGGAGCCTTGACTCTGCTCTCCCATGCCAGCCAGCCCATACCAGCCAATATAAGGGGCATAATAAATTACTACCAGAACAGGACAATTATCCTCCTGGAATGGAAGGAAGAAAAAGGGGCAGGAGCTGTATCCTGGAGGCACAATCTAGCCCTGGCTTACAGCCTTTCTACAATAAAATAAAATAAAAAAAAAAAAAAAAAAAGAGGGGGGAGGGATAGCTCAGTGGTTTGAGCATTGGGCTGCTAAACCCAGGGTTGTGAGTTCAATCCTTGAGGGGGCCACTTAGGGATCTGGGGCAAAATCAGTACTTGGTCCTGCTAGTGAAGGCAGAGGGCTGGACTCAATGACCTTTCAGGGTCCCTTCCAGTTCTAGGAGATAGGTATATCTCCATATATTATATTATAAGTATAACACAGGTGTGCATGGATTCCACCTCTTTCCATGTTAAACCACAGTGAAGGTATTTTAAATGCCATTACATTTGCATCCCAGTGACTTACACATACTGGTCACACTTGCCTATTTGATAAAGCCTCTTAATCAAATGCCATTTGTTGCCATCTTTAGGATTGGTGAGTTCAACCACTTGAGTGAGGGGGAAAACTCAAAAACTTAGCTTGGTTACTAATACTGACATTTGTAACAAAGAACAGTAAGACAAATAACAGATATGTTGCCCTTTTTCTTTAGGACTCTGTTGAAAGGATCCTATTCCTATTAAAATTCAACAGCAAAATACATTCATTAATTGGTACCCCCACACACATCAAAAAATAGCCTTAATTATAACACATTGCCTGGGGTAATTAAGGTTGTGCATGCAACTTTGCTTTGAAAGGAATTATTGGTCACATATTAGTCAGATAAATTTAATATATGTAAAGGAACCTCTCTAATCAATTTTATTTCCTAACGATTTAAAGTATTTTTGTTGACAAATAATGGGCATCTTGATATATAATCTTAAGTGCAAAATATTAATGCATTTAAAATGCATCAAATCTTTAGTAATCTGATAGATGTTTTGCTATATAAACATTAAAAAAATAAAAAATAAATCTATGTACAAAGTTAATTGTGCTTCTTTAGAAACCTTATATGTTTTGTTCATATACAACTTTAAAATACATTTTAGAGTTAAGTAGCAGTTTCAAAATATATTAAATTCTTTTGATGAATCTTCTTTGTAACTCCACTTCAAACTGTGACATTACACAGTTTGGTAATGTTACTCATTATTCTGGACCAGATTCTGTTCTCAGTTATGCCCAGGAAAATTCAGAGTTACTGTTTTAATCTAGATTTATACAGGTGCAAAGAAAATCAAAATCTGGTTCTGTGCGGTTAAAATAATTTGGCTCTAAAATAAGACATGCTTTAAAACTTCCTGCATACAATCTGATCAAGGAGATAGTTCCCATGACAGACTTGTTCTTGTTAGAGTTGTTTATTATCTACACTACTTAGTGTTGGGTACCCATCTCTATTAAGTTTGTGGTTACAAACAAAAACAAAACAAAATGGAGAAGATGCAGCAGCTTCTAGATTAATATACTAATAATGAAATAAATTCCCCCCCAAATCCCTGATGCATCATATTGCAAGAAGGTCTGGAATGTGTTCATGTTCTATTTTTCAGGTAACAATTGCCACTAGAAACTGAGCGCCCCACTGGCGTTAATCTTTTAGTTTCTTGTAAAATTACAAGTGGGCTTACTAGTACCAATGCAAAATGTTACTTACAGGCTTTAATATTCCACAAATGTTAGTTTATATTTGTACAGTATTCCTTGCTGATGGTAAAACACATTTTTCAAGTATGAATATTTTGCACATATATTCTCTTTTGAAGATTTCAGATTCTATTACTCTTAGTGTGCATCATCAAAAGTGATAGATATTAACCATTTTCTCTTCTTTCTCTGTAAAACTGTTCATGTGTTCTTCACATTTTTTTAAAAAAGAGAGTGATTAAATATTCAGAAATCACCAACAAAGGCTTATAAATGTCAATGCAGTTCCTCTATAAACAGAGCACTTGAAGGGGAAAAACATATGTCCACAACAGTGCATGCCATGTTATGTGCATCGGACTTTCTGGTCCTGTAGCTCCGATGCTTTAATGGAGTCAAGAAAAGTTCTGAGCCAGCCTCCTCTTCTTCCATGGACAGTAAATGTCAAAAAAAGAGAGAGGAGAGCTTTTTCTAGTCTTGTTCCGATTGACTGTGGTGCATTACTGTCTGCATAAGGAGAATGAAAACCACAGCAGAACACCACGAAAATCGGACTTTTGAGTGCTCTGCATGAGATCCACAAGTTGGATGACTGAGCAGCAATACCCAAAGAGGAAAATGCTTTGGTTGCCTTGAGCTAGCATGTTAAAAGAAAGGTTTGTTTTCCTTCCAGGTAAGTAAAAGTGCTTGTTGGATGACAAAGCAGGAAAGAAAATCAGATGACTGATGAGAAGGTAGAAATGTAAAATGTCTCCTATCATTTATAGCACAAGGAATCAAGAGTATGTCATCCCATCTCATGGTTGTGGCTTGTTTTAAAGATCTTCTCGGCACATTGGAAAGTTGACAAAGGTGAAGACATTAAACTCTATCAATACAGAGAAACACAGGAAAATGGCATAAAGAAACAGCACGTAGAAGCCTAGTTTCTTGTCAAGTTTCCATTTATTTACATGGATTCCACCCACCTGCAAGTATACAAAGTGTTAGTTAATGGAGTCTCAAAGGGCACAAATGCTACAAGCTTCAAATGAGGTCTATTTGAATCTGCTGTCCTTAAACATGCTAAAAATGCAGTCTTGGTATTTTACAGTGTTCATTTTTTCAGATAGAGATAAGGCACATAACTGATCGAGTTAAACATGAGGGCTTAATTCTCAGCTACATTAAGACCTCTTTACACTGCTCTAACATATAAAGCGGCCTTTAAGTGGGTGTAACTTAGGGTATGTCTACATTGCAACTGGAGGTATCCTTGGACAGACATATGAGCACTAGCTTTGATCAAGCTTGCTTGCTAAAAACAGCAGTGTAGCCATGGCAGTGCAGGTGGTGGCACAGGCTAGCGGTCTGAGATGCGAGGTCAGAGGTGGTGCTAACCCATTGGGAGCCCTAGGTAGGAATAGTGCTGTCTCTGTCCTAGGTAACATTCAGGCAGTTAGTCCATGCTGCCATCTGCACTGCTGTGGCTGCACTGTTATTTTTTAGCATGACAATTGATCACAGCTAGCATAGGTATGTCTACACATGCTGCAGCATAGATGTACCGCAAGTGAGTGGTATATTTTCAGAACCCTTCACAGGGTCTGAGCTCAGCGAAGAGCTCTTAATGTAACTGAGAATCAGGCCCATAAGTGTATAGTTTCAACATACTCTGAGTCATGCAGCTCCCATTAATTGCTTCAGTACAGCCTAAATTATCAGGTAAAAGAACCTTCAGTGCTGCCCCCTAGATCTACTGTGGTCTCTGGAACATTGGCCCTTACAGAACGTTACTTCTTTCAACAGCTGCAGAGAAGCAGAGAACATAGTATCAAAGGCGGTCAGAAGTAATGAGAGTTAGATGGCTTGTTCCTTCATACAGACAGTTTGCCAAAATATATGCCACTCAAATTGTATTGTGCAAAGACATTGGCCAACATTTCCAAAACCTGGGTGACTGGTCTAAAGTTAGGCCCCTAAATCCACATTTAGGCTCACATTTAGTGAGAGGGTAATGGGAGTGTTCAGAAGCTTTTCCATTCAGATGACACTGCTTCAGCTGTGTCAGAAGCCTGGTCATTCTGCCCCTCAATACCCTGTGGACACCTTTGATGATAACATTTAGCTAACCCTCCCATACCTTGCCAAACTGCTGGACAAGTGGGTGGGGGGGGGGGGGGAGATTTATGACACAATACAACACAACTGTTGTCTTTTAAGATATTATTTGGACATTTGCTTCCCAGTGTGGCAAAAATGAGTACCAGTGATGGTGTCTACTGAGGGCTGGGCTGGAAAGAGATTATGTCCATACATGTCACTTGTGAGATGCATTGGCAAGTTAATTGTATACTGACTAGGGTCTGATTTTTGCAATACTGGTCATCCTACCACCAAATTTAGTGTGTCATTGGTACCACGCATTGGTAAGTTACAGACATGATGCAGAAATGCGAGGTCTATGGTGATGACCACATTCTCTATGTAGTCTCCGCTGAGAGTCTACAGTTTGAGAAACACTGTTAGCGAAGTGTTAATGAGGATGGATATTTACACTTTCAGAGTCTGGTTCTGCCCACACTGGGCTCAATGGGAGTTTTGCCACTGACTTCAATGCATTCCAGTGCAGGCCCTAGATGCATTGGAACTGACTTCAGACCCAAATTAATGTTTCACTTACCAGGCCCTTTGTTACAAAATAAAGGCCCAGTCCTGAGAGGTACTTAGTTAGCTCCTCCTGGGAGCTGAGGTCCTCAGTTCTCACTGAAATAAATTGGAATTGAAGGTCCTCAGTGCCCCATTGGGTGCTGAGAGCCTGATTTAATGCCCACTGATGTCACTGGTTGCTAGATCAAGCTCTATATGAACAAATGCTAGTCAGAATGGTGAGTACTTCCAGTTTCGCCTACTTCTACATGCAAAGTAAATACATGTATCAAATTATGACATGAAGTAAATACTCAACGGAGTCATATTTTAAACCACAGAAATACTTACAGTAAGAGCTACAGACCCCAGCAGAAGCACAACCGAATAGACCAGTCCCTTGCTATTTATCTTAACCTGTGAAAATTAGACATAAAAGAGAACTTTAAAATGTTTAGGACATAGTAATTGCAATAGAAAGTTAACTGCCTCTTGACTTAGAACATTCTCTATTCTATTTTAAAGTAATGTCTAAAATTTAAAATGAAAGGCTTGTCTACATGACGGGGTACTGCACTCTACAGGGGTGTGATTTCTAAAGTGCACTAATATGTTGTGCATTAATTGGCCCGTGTTGACCCTGCTCAGGTGCACTAAAGGTTTCCTAGTGTGCCTGCACTACATTAAAGTGCACTAGGGGTCTACATGGCCCAATTAATGTGCAACATGTTAGTGCACTTTAGAAATCACATCGCTTAGTGCTCATTGCTTCACTGTATTGACAAGCCTCCATTTGCAATTTTTAAATGACATAGATGTTTAATTCATGGCAAAAATTACAATAATGGGATAACAGCATGTTTAAAAGAATCAGAACAAATGTGTAAACAATCAGTCTTGCTTAACTAAAACCCCTCAGCACTTGCATATTGCCTTTGGTCAATAACTCTCAAGGATAGTAAGCCTTATTATCCTCATTTTACAAACAGGTAAACTGAGACATGGAGAGCCAAAGAGATTTGCTCAGAATTGCACAGTCAGACAATAGCAGAGCCAGGAATAGACCCAATAGCTCATATTCTCCTGCCACCCAATACAATTAACTCACATTGAAAGCAATGGGAATTCATTGCATCTTGTGACAGGAAAATTGTTCGCATGTCTCCCTGTTCTTTGGCCAGGAAATAACCTCATGTCTTATTTAACTACTAATAAAAATGCTCAGCATTTTTACAATGTTTTCTTCTGAAAACAAAACACACAAAAACAAAAATTAAACAATTAAATTAAAAAAAATATATATATATACGTACCACTGATCCATAATCAATCAACATAGTTTGCATGCCCCATGGTACTCCAAGGCCTACTAAAATGTCAAATACGTTGCTCCCTATTGTATTGGATACTGCCATATCACCAAGACCTGGGAAACAAAACCAAACAAACAATAATTCTCAGGTCAAAACAACACACAGGACAAACATTCTGTAACAAGGCTGAGGAGGAGGGAGAGGGAGAGAGAGAGAGAGAGAGAGAGAGAGAATGACTGTTGAGCAGCTTTGCAATGTAAGATGACACTTTAAAATTAGCTAACTAAGCACTCCTGCAATCCCCACCTGGGCAATTTGCCAAGTACCTAAGATCAATAAGTAATTTGCGTAACATTTACATAACCTTTTAAAATAAAAAAATGCTCACAACCAATATACTTTGTGCATGTATCATCCTTGAGGGGTGAGTAGAAATTGGTGTTTGAGTTTGATGCTAATTAAAAAAACAGGTTGATAAGCTTTGTCCTGTTTTCTCTGTAGTTCCAGGGCACAGCTGGCCAGGAGCTTCATTGTAAGAAGCTGTGTGTGGTCTGTCTTCATCTCTTGGGATGTGCTCTGGGGACGTGGGCTCTAGCTAATCTGAAAGGTGATCGTGAAAGGTGCTGAGCAGCGTGGGAGCTGAGGACATTCAGCACTGAGCAGGATTGGGCCCTTATGTGTGTGAGCATCAAGTTCACTTTAGAAATTTCATTTTTAAAAAACAACCCCAAACAATAATAAAATAGGAGAACAAAGTGTGAGTGGGTGGTAAGGTCACCAGAACCTTGTTCTTACTGAATCTCTGTCTCCTGTGCTCAGTATTAGCTGGTGTCTGATTTTGATACAATAATAATGGTGGCCGGAGTGCTCACCCCAATTTGTTTCTCTCTCAAGTACCTGCTTAGCTATCTGTGCTACTGCCAAATCCACAAAACATGTACCAGGAAGGAGGAAAAGATCTAATATTGTTGGAAAGTGCCCTTCAAATAAGATCAGCTTTGTGGAGGAACTTTCAAGCCCATGAGAGACCTCCAGCTGGATCACATGCATGACGTCTGCTCCCAAGGCCTGGCCTGACACAGTGGGACACGGTCAGTAGCGCAGACTGTCCATCCCTGGGATATCCTCGGGATTTGTGTTTATGGCAACACCTCTTGCAGCTTCCCTTCACTGTCAGGGTACACCTGCATTTGCCCTTTGGGAAACCCTTTACTAAAGTGCCATGCATGGCCCGCACATGTTACATGGGAGAATCGGGGATTCTCCATCTACCACTTCACCACGCTGTTCCTTGCCTGTACTCTCATAGCAAGTAATCTTGACCAGGTTTTTGCCTGATATGTGACGATATTCTATTGCAAAGATTTGGCCCACAGAAATCAATAGTAAGCTACAAATAGAATATTAACTAGACTGTGGAATAACTAAATGAAGCAGATATCTTTTTTCCTCATTGATTACTCATTTAACATTTTGAGTTAAACTTATGGTAGAAACTCTAGTGAACAGAGATAAAGTATGATAGCATTTATTTTCTGTACAGGTTCAAGGATTATGAAGGCATTACACTGATCATTTTAGCACTTTTCCCCCTGTATTTCCTCTACAGATCTACTGACTCTAATATCATACATAGAAGAAACCAATTTTAATGGGCAGTGTCCCAGAACAGTTCTTAACACAGCTGATCTATTTTTGTGAGATTTTCCTGCATGTAATTCCTAATATGAAGTGGAGAATGGATGATTTTTAATATACGATTCTTTTTTGTTAGGCATAGCCAAAACATTTAAAAACAGACTGTGTGAAATGTATAGCTCTTACAGTTATAAATGAAACATTTTAAATATGTTTATGCGGTTCACATCATACAGATGTGGGACTCTACTGGCTCCTGGTGGCTAGTTTAGGACTTCAGAATTCTTGAAGCCTGTATGCAGCCTGGAGAACAAAGAGCCATCCTTTGGCATTAAGGGCTGTAGGAGCTGGAATACTGCAAAATGCTATTATTACTATCTGCTCCTTTCTCAGTGTGATACAAATGAACACACTCATGCTTGTTTTAAGCAAAAATGGTAAAGGATGTGTCCATAAATATTTCTCATGTAAAAAAGGAAAGCTTAAAAAAAAAAATCAAAAGCTCAGCCATGTAAATATGAGTTGGAAAAATCTTTGGCCTTTTAAATAGGAAAGTTAAACTAGACATAGTTAAGGTTAATCTTTCCCTACTCAGTATTAATATTCATAGAGCCAAAAGGAAGATGCTGGCTGTCTCCAGTTGGACAAGGAATATGTTTGAAGCAAGTTAACTTTTGTTGTGCCTTTTCCCCCCAGTATCTTTCCCCATCAACTTCATTTGAAATCAATGCAAGTTTTACATGCAGCACTTAGGACATGATCCAAAAAGCAAACCCTTTTTCTATGCACCTTTTTGGTGTACAATCCTATTTTTATGGCTGATCTTTTCTAGTGTAGCTCATGTGTATGTTACATCTGTCTAATCTGACTGATCTATGCTGCATATGTGAGGTTTGGTTGCTGAATGAACTGCCAGAACATTATGCGATTTCTCCTGATGCTCCACGCCTCTTGGATGTAATAAATGCCCCATACTCGTAACCAGAGATGTAACAGGGTGGGAACCATTTTTTTACAGCACCAAGCAGAGTGGGGCCCTGGTCCATGACTGGGGCTCCTAGGTGCTATTGTAATTCAACCAACAGTTTGAAAAAACTGCATATTACAGGAGCAAAGCATGAAATTGTTGGAACACTTGAACAGAAATAATACCTTGTCTTGCTACGATTAAGCTGGCCATGCAGTCTGGTACACTCGTTCCTGCAGCTAGGAAAGTAATGCCCATGATAACATCAGGGATCCCCAGAGTGTATCCAATTATAGTAACCTGCACAGTAAGCAAAAACAGCCATTTAAAATAATTGGGAAGTCTCTTATTCTGAAACCGTTTCCAATACAATTGTGATTCACTCTTCACTTTAATTTCTGGATGTGGCCGTTATGACAGTTAGACACACACACACATTTCTATAAGGAAACAAAATCGTAGCAACAATCTGACTAAAAACCTCCTACTAGGGAACAATAAGTACTTGTAGGCACATTCTTAAGGGTTTTATGAAAGCCATTTAAAGTGCTCCACTTTATACATTTGTAACAGGATGCGCTGGCCCCTTAAGGGCGCTTACAGACCGGCGCAGCCTGTTCTTATGTTCTGCCTGGAACAATGGAATGCTGGGTGGTTCCCAGGTCTGAAGGTAGCTGTAAAGTTGGCAGCAATGCAGGCTGGGAAGAGGGAAGAACTATAAAAGAGCTCCCTTTGCCATAGTAAGAGAATGGCTTGGGAAGAGGTGAGACCTGTTCTGAGGGTCCTGACAGAGACACTCCTGAAGGGAACAGAACATGAGTCTCTCTAGACAAATGGCCCAGATGCAGCTTTGGAAGAGCCTAGGGAGAGACAGCAGCCTGCAATGGGGATCCCAGTAAGGATGGGAGGAAGGGTCTCAAGGGGGGGTGTGTTAAAATCCTGAAAAGGGGGCCAGAAAGAAGGCTTAATAGCCAGCCACCTAAGCAAGCCTAGGAAGTAGGTGTGGGAAGAGTAAGAGTGAAGCCGGAACATTTGAGACTGGAGCAGGCAGCTACTTCATTGCTCAGGGGATTAGGGCTGGAGCCTGGGTAGAAAGGGTGGCATGGATTCCCATAAACCTCAGTGCTGCCACCTTGAAGTATTGTGCTGGCACTCCTATAAGAAAAGCCTATTTGTAGAGCCGTGCAATCAAGGGGCTCTTTCTGGAACCCCTGCAGCCAAGGGGAAGAGTTCCCACAGACTCTTAAAGCAGGCAGTGGCCCAGAAGCCAAAAGTGTTTGCTTGGACTCTTTTTTTCGTTAAGAGTTGTGGTTACCCCAGGAGGATGGAGTCTTTTTTCTAACTTAGCCAGAGAATTATATTAAGTTTTCCGATCACGAAGACATTTTCCCATTGAGAGGGCAAGTAACCATGGGGACATTGAGGCATGGACGCATCTTGAAAGAGATCAGAGACACTGTTAGAGCATCTCTGAACACATCCTACTTTTGGTCTTTCCACAAAACTCCCACTGTTTTCAACAGAAGTTCTGAAAGTGGAACCAGGGTAGAGAGCATGGTCTTACTGAAGTACAGATGCTATGAAGTTGTGGCAATGTGGTACATCAGCAAGAATGAATTGTTGGAATATGAATCTCTCAAACAGTTTTTGCTACATATTATAAAATCAGGGGAAGAGGGTTTTATTTTAAAATATAATACTTTAAATACTAACTTAAGGGAAAATACTGTATCCAAGTGGAAATGGAAAAATAAAATAATCCCCAAATGTCTAATATACCGACAGCGCTATCAGTATGTATCCCAGACAAGTAAAGCTGTGTCATACAACTCACAAGCCTCAAGCAAGTTATGAAGATCAGCTGCTCGTAAATTAAAATGCTTCCAAAAGGTCACACGAAACTGTTACATATTTCATTTTCCAGGGTACATATTATGAAAGAGTTAGATTTTTTCACTTTACTGATTTTTAATTGAGGAAAATATAGACATGTGAAGGCTTTACCTACCCTACCATTGACCTACCAGTCCTTCAGCAGTACTAACATAACTTCTCATTAGCTTTGCCTCTCTTTGAATAGAAAAAAGATGCCTTTTTAAACTTCCAAAAATATTTTTTTAATTACAAAGAGTCTAATTTGAGCTACTTTACTATTCATGTCTCTTCTGAGTGAAAATGTACATTTAAGCTATAAAAACTGAGAGAAAATAAGAGTGAATCACCTGGACTAGCGTTTAAAGTAAGAGTGTTTCTGAATGGATCATACCTGATATATCTTCATCGGAGCCTACATTTTTGCACATGTTAAGAGCAACTGAAAAGATTTATGGGTAACCTCTATGGCACTCTTATTAAGAAGGAGAATAATACTTGCGACTAATATAGTCCATTCCACCCAAAGCATTTTACACTGTATCTGATCCTGCAACCCTTACTACTCACCTGAGTTACTGTGTGAGTATATTTCAGGATCAGGCCTTTGGGCCATATTTTTAAAAGTATTAGGTGCCTAAAGACACAGATAGGCACCTAGTGGGATTTTCAAAAGCACCTACGCCCTAACTCCCAATATTAGGAACTAGGCACTGAGGAACTTTTGAAAAAAATCACACCAGGCCCCCATCTGCATCTTTAAGTGCCTAACTTTAAAAATATGGTCCAAAAGCACTGTCCAGAAGAGAGACTAGCACACAGGTCAGATATTAGACTAACTAATAGACGGCACACATCCCAATGTGGCTACGTTCTTCTTCTTCTTCACCTAAAACAAACTGGGATTGGAGTTGAAGACGTTCGTCATCTGGCCTGTACATTTCATTTCTTAAAACAAGGTTTTGTTGCGTCCACTTACCATCCACACCATAAAATAGGAGAACAAAGCAATCCACAAAGTGGATAAAATGAATGTCAGCATAAAGAAGTTCTCCCAACGTGGTTTGCTGCAGTTTGGAATGGTACAAAAGAGCAGGAATAGCAATGGCCACGTGAAAATCCATTTGACTTTGTTCATTTTTCCATCTGCAGAGAGAAAGGAAAACAACCTATTGAACTTTCCTGTTCCTGCCGCACCAGGTCCAGTTACATATGTATGCACACTACGTGGATAGAGGAGAAAATAATAAATAGGCTTGGTTGCAGCTGTGCATTTTGGTTTGAGGCTCATTTGTCTCCCTTGCCCCCATGTCCGCAATTTCTGTCTCTCTTTATAATATGGCAAGTTCTGCCCTTGGATGCATGTGTAGGGTTCCCACTGATTCAAACCAGACAATGTACATACATCCAATGATGAAATTGAGCCACAATGTATTGCTCTTTTGAATTTAAAACAGAAGGATGGTAGTACTGCCCTTTCAAGGGCATGTTATCTTACCATTAAGCCCCTCACCTGAAATAAAAAGCAAATTACAACTTTTTTTTAAAGGAACAGTGTAAAAAAATGCCCACTTCTGTGCAATATCAGTGAACGTTTTTCGCTGATATAAAAACAGACGTTGGCCTTCATTTTGAGCTGTGCCTGTGAAGGATCTAGTGCTAGAGAATTTGCAAATCACAGTTTACTATCTGCATAACAATACACTCACTCTTGCTTCACAGACAAGACATATGAAATGCCAATGTTTCAAAAGTGTGAAGTGTTGCAAATGTGCATGTAAATTTCAAGTATTGAGATCAGAGGCAAACTACAGGATTTTCACAGACCAGGGATTATATTCATATTCCTTGAGACATTTTTCAAGCATCCTACAAGTTTGTTTTTCAGGCTGACAAATGAGGGGCACAGTCAAGTGCCCTTGATGTAGTTTTATTTTGGATATAATTAAGCTAGCAGGGGATTTCTTGATGCTTGAAACAGTATAAATGCCCTGATCATTGTGAGTGCAAGATCTATACAAATGTGCTGTTTTGAAACAGATGGATAGTCACATTAAAGGAAAAGAATAAAAAAACAGATAAATCTCCACTGTGGTCAGAGTTACACCACTGTAAAACTGGTATAAGTGAGACCAGAATCTGGATCAATGCCCCTCGATGCATTCTTTAATGAAGCAAAAATTAGTTGTAGAGAGAGCAACAAACAATATTATGCTGCCTTCAGCTTTAAAAGTTAGTAGTAATGCTGAAACTCCAGCTTTCCAATGCTTACATGAGCCTGCGCTGCAATGAAGACAGCTGGACCAATGCTTTGTAATAGGGATTTCTATTTTTTATCACAGAAGAGCTATTCATTTAGGCCTTGATTTAGCAAAACTAATGGAAAGTCAATGTGAACATTCATGGTTTAGCACAGGGATCTCAAACTCAAATGACTACGAGGGCCACATGAGGACTAGTACATTGGCCCGAGGGCCGCATCACTGACACACACACACACACACACACTGTCCCCGGCCCCGCCCCCACTCCACCCCTTCCATGAGGCCCCGCCCCACCTCTTCCCACCCCTTCCCCGCCCCCATTCCAACCCCTTCCCCAAAGTCCCCGCCCGAACTCCGCCTCCTCCCTGCCCCTATTCCAACCCCTTCCCCAAATCCCTGCCCCACCTCTTCTCTGCCTCCTCCCCTGAGCGCACGGCTCCCCGCTCCTCCCCCTCCCTCCTGGAAAGCGCTAAGCACAGGCGGGAAGTGCCTGGAGGTAGGCAGAGGAGCAGGGACGCTGCACACTGGGGAAGGGGGGTGCCAGGGGAGGGGAGCTTGGCGGCCGCAGGAAATAACTCCGCAGACCGCGTGTTTGAGACCCCTGGTTTAGCATGTCCTTAAGTGCTTTGTTGATTCAGGACCTTAAGTAGGATCCCTGTCAGGGTACATACCCTCAATGAAGAAAATGAAAGACAGCAACTGCAAATGCCATACTTGTTATCTAGCAATACAGGGATCTCTTCTTATCCATGCAACAGGGAAAACATACCAGCCTGATTCTACTCTAGTGTAAATCAGGTCTAAGACCAACGTAGCGTTCCACCAGTGAGAGATCAGAATCAGGTCCTTATTTTTTCCAGTAATTTAGTGAGACAGTTGCCCACTCATCCTGCAGTTGGAGGATTTTTGCTTCATTAAAGAAAGCATCTAGAAACATTGATCTGGATTCTGGTCTAACTTACACAAGTTTTATGCTGGTGCAACTGACTAACATAGAGTTACTTGTGAATTATACTAGTGTAGCTGAGAGCAGAATAATTCCTGTCTTGTTTAAAGTATTTTAATCTTTTTCAAATCCATATGCTCTGCACTATATATAAGAAGCTTTGGGAGCCGAACATTCCAAAGAGACAGTGCTACAATAAAAAGTCTTATATTAATTTTCAATATATTCCTCTAATGCTATATGCCCCTATTTCCTCACAAAGGAGCTTTACAAACTTTATACTTGCAGGAATCACTTTCCCATTAAATTGTAGCCATCTCTAGGTGAAAGATAATAGGTAAACAACACACAGCACAACAGTGATGAGAAGGGAATATTGGTCAAAGCCCTACTTTAAAAAAAGTGTCATAAGATTTGCAATATCCACATATAGCAGACAGGAACTCAGTTTTAAAGTCTCACCCCAAAACCCCACACTTGGTAAACCACACTGTGTGATGCTGGCAGACCAGGTGCCAGCTCATGCCAAAGTCCCCATGTCTCAACTGAACACTGACAAATACATAGCTGGAATCAGTTTGGCTCACCTGTGTGTTAGTATTGTTAAACCAGGTGTTAGAATGATAAGAATGTGTTTAGACTTTATTGAATGCATGTGAGTTGCTGCATGCATTAATCTCACTTGTAACATCTGTATCTCATATTGTAAGGCAATATTTGAGTGGTTGTATTGTGAGCCTCTGTGACTATGTAAATCACCAGACAGGAGAGAGACATTAAATTAGTGTGAAGGGCTGCTCATCAACAGAAGGTTTTACATCCTTCCCAACAGGAAAGGTCCATCAACACCAGATGTTAAGAAGATAAAATACTTTGTTGTTCTGCTCTTCCCCCCCCACATGAAGATGAGTCATGCAAGTGGATTCCCCTGCCCTCCCCCATCAGCTGAGTTTGCAGCTCAGAGCACATGTCAGAAGGGGGATAAAAACCCCAAACAAAAGGAACTAGGTATCTTTATGCTGCTTGGTCTGGGGTGGGGGGGGGGGGGGAAGGGATCCCCAGCTGTGTAGCCTGGGTTAGCCCTAAAGAATATATAGACCTTGCTGAACATAGAGGCTTCTATTACCTTTTGAAACTTAAGATTGTAACTCATTTGTGTGTATATGTTTACCTGCTTTCACCTTGTAAATAACTGTTTCCTTTTCCTATTTCACAAATCTCTATATAGTTTATTACTGAATTGGCTACCATTGTTGTCTTTGGTGTGAGATCTAAAGTGCCATTGACCTGGGGTAAGTGACTGGTCCTTTGGGACTGGGAGTAACCTGAATATTGCTGTGATTCTTGATGTAAGGGATGATTTATCACAAAGGTATGCTCACCTGTGTGGTGAGACAGATTGGAGTACCAAGGGGACTGTCTATGGCTCCATGTTTAGGCTCTTATAGTACCTGAGGAGTTTACACTTGACAATTGGCTGGCAAACTCTAAGTATAGAATTCACAGCCAATTTGGGGTTTGTGCCCTGGTTCCTAAAAATCTGCCCTGAGGCTGGTCCTCATTCTTGAGTCACTGCAGGCAGCGTTACACGTGGAACTCAGTTTTATCTAGCTTAGATGGGCCAAAGGCTGTGATGACACTGCCAGGAATCAAATGCACTTTTGGAGCTCAGGTATTTCAAACTTGATATCTAGGGCATTGAATCATTTCTTCTGGGAATGAAGGAGGAGCAGGTAAGTAGGAAGAGTGCATTATTCAGTGTATGACTGTGTAACTTAAATTAGGGACTGACAGACAGAGTCAAACCAATGGTCCATCTACTCTGGTATGCTCTCTGACAGTGACTTGTACCAAATGCTTTAGAACAGGGGTTCTCAAACTGGGGGTCGGGACCCCTCAGGGGGTCGTGAGGTTATTACATGGGGAGTCATGAGCTGTTAGTCTCCACCTCAAACCCTGCTTTGTCTCCAGCATTTATAATGGTGTTAAATATATTTAAAAGTGTTTTTAATTTATAAGGGGGGTTGCACTCAGAGGCTTGCTATGTGAAAGGGGTCACCAGTACAGCCGTTTGAGAACCACTGCTTTAGAAGAAATTGTCAAAATCCTCAAAAAAGGACAATTATGGAGGAAGCTTCTTTCTAACCCCAGGTAGTTAGTGGTTGAAACCGGAGTCTCGAAGCATGAGTGTTGACACCTCTTATAAATGTTTATCCCAATTGGTGATACTACAGATATTCTTACTAATTCACATAAATCTCAGCTGTAGGGCTGGTTGAGAAACAGGAAAGATTTTGTAGACCTTTCTGCAATTTCTTCCAGTTTTTGTTTGAAATTTTGAAACTTGAAGAAAAAATGCTGACCATCCCTACTCTAGTCCTCTTTTGAATTCTATCAAGCATTTCGCTTCAGTGTAACTGGTGGCAGTGAATTCCACTGGTTAATTATAAATTGATCCAGATCCTCAGCTGGTGTAAATCAGAGTAGCTCTACTGAAATCAATCGAGTTGGGCCCGTTTACACCAATTGAGGAGCTGGCACTGTTGGTGTGTTTGCTTTTTAAAAAGTGTTTCATTTTATCAGTTTCAAAATTCGTTACTTTAACTTTTTAAAGAAAACAGTCTTTTTCCACTAATGAAAACGGATTTTAAGTTCCCTTTCTCCTGGGTCCTAATTACGCTTTATAATTTACAGCTGAGATTTAGGACTAATCATCATCAGTAATATTTAATTCAAATTTTGATCTTAAGTCATGTAGTAATGAGGAGTGTACAGCTCCACGTAAGAGCTCTTGTACTAACCCAAGCAAGAAGTATAATTCTGCAACAAAATGATGTTATTCTCAAGGGCTAAGGATTGATTGGACTAGTGTATGAAATTTAGTGTATGTAAATTAGCCAATCAGCCTAATTTGTTTCTAAGAGTCTACTGCATGC